GCAAAAAAACAACAATTGAAATTGAAACAAGTATAAATTTAAAAAGTTTTTCCTCTGATCTGCATCCACGGTTAAATACAAAAAACAACAATTGAAATTGAAACAGATATAAATTTTAAAAAAAATTCTCTGATCTACAGACCACGGTGTACTGAAAATGCAAGCTAATGACTTTTTGTATTGTTTCTATACTTCTTGTTTCATACAATTTCGAAGAAGATAACCAGTCAAAGAACTTGAAATTTACCAATCCTTTCTGTTCCACAAATGTTCTGCAATTATTGTAAACCGAACATTCGTGTTTTGAAGCAATTAATCCTTCTACACCATTCAAAAGCACTGCTCATAATTTAATTCCCCAACTTCTAGGATAAGTGAATGTGATGATAAACTGGTCGACTTTTCACTTTTATAAAATATTTTATTGTGAATTTTTTTCGGAAGGGGGCGGGTTTATAACAATGCTTCACAAGATTTTCACTTTTACACTTAGCAATATTTATCTAATTACTGTAACTTTCAAAAAATTATGGAAATATTGATTCAAAAATCGTTTTGCATTTGTTTCTTCTAATGGTAGAATAAATATATGATTACTAAATAACAAAGATGCACGAGTGACTTGCACGTCCAAAGATGTGCGAATTGAAAGAAAATTTCCGATTTAAGTTCACACTCTATCTAGCGTAAATTAGCATTCTGGAAATAATAATAATAATAATAATAATAATAATAATAAATAAATAAATAAATAATAATAAAAAAAAAATCTGAAATGTTTCAGATTTTAAAATTACGTCCAAAGGGCGTTTTTTTAACATTTTGTGTGTTACCTTTCTTATTTAAATATCATGTTCCTCGCACTTAAACCATAAGATCCAGTGCAACAGCATATCGCAAAATAGTTTTAAAACGAGCCTATCTTTAGAATTTCCGATACAGAGACTCACGCGCTGGAGATAAAAATGTTTTTTCTGCACAACGTTGCCATTGCTCGCTTTGAAATCCTTGAGTTTGTTAATCAAAATTCGTCAAAGTTTTAAAAATAGGAAATCGATCATAAAACAAATTTCAAATTTCAAATTTGGTCTCTTCCACATGCTCATATTCGTTGGAGAAGATTACGTTATTCAAAATTCGATGACTCTATGTACCGTTGTTTATGACAATGTGAGAAATATACATACATTTATGCAGATTTTAATTATTTAATTTCTTCAAATATAATGCAGGACTCTAACATTTTATGGCAACAGTTTGAAAAGTGAACCGACATTTATGAGTCCGACGCAAAATGCCAAAACGAAACTAATAGTCCTTCGGGATTCAAATCCCATTGGACTAATAAATAAATAAATAAAAAAGCTGAACAATTGCCATAATAAAAGAGTGGGGAGCCCTGGATAATTTTCCAAAATTAAAGAGAACTTTTACTTTTGGCAGGGCATTTCGATTTCTACAGCTTTTCTCAAACTGTTTTGAAGTGCGCATCACTTTAATAAATCAGAATATTCTGCCGACCACCTTACTCCTATATTCTTCGAAAGCAATTTTTTAGAGTATTTTTCTACCAGTACTCTCACATTTAACAAATATAATTAATTAAAATACATTTAATTTTATATTAATATCAATCAATTAAGTTAACGGAAGAAAAATTATATTTGCTTTTAATAATTCAAGGCTATAAAAGTTTAGATAATCTTTATCTTATTAACTGAATGCTTGTACTCACATTAATGGCATGGATGAGTCTGACAATTCTTGCATAACTGTTCAGTGTTTGAATGGTTACAGCCAAAAACATCGCGGACGGAAACGTCGCGGAGAAAACAACGAAAGCGAAAACGTCGTGGTACAAAACATCGTGGAAGAAAATAAAGCAAAGAGAAAACATCGCAGTTCTAAAATATCGTGGCACAAAATATCGTTTTCGAAAAAAAATTCGGTTCAGCAACTTCGCAGTTTAAAAACATCGTCTTCAAAAGTATCCTGGTAAAAATCATTTTTTACCAGTACTTACAAATCATCGCATGACGATAACATCGCAGACATGCGTATTTAAGGCTTTAATAATTATAAATGGATACTCACATAATGATTTGTGTGCGCAAGATGGAAAGAACGATAATTTTTACTTTCATCGAATTTATTAACTAATAAATTTAAAGAAAAATAAAGAACAAGAAATTTAAACAAAACAAGAAATAATTTTCACTACAAGAGTATCACATTAGCAAAAGTGAAGAAAATTATCTCATCATTAACTTAGCAATTTTTACTTCCTTGTACGAAGTAAAAAGGAAGTATTATAATCGCGAAAAGTTTCAGCCAGCATATTTCAACGAAAATATCCATTTTGACCGCTATCGAACGCAATTTAACGATGTTTTTGCGTGATATCTGTACGTAATGACAGAATAAAAGACTCGTTTCCTCCAAAAAAATTGTAAAACTGCTTTAAAATTAATTGTGAAGAGAATATTTCGTGGCGTCTGTACGAACGTACGTACGTATCTCGCATAACTCAAAAAGGAGTAGCCTCAGAACGTTGAAATTTTGTATACAGGACTGCTATAACATGTAGATGTGCACCTCGTATTTTGGTTGCAATCGGCTGTACCAAACGTATATAAATATATTTATATATATATATATATATCTTCCACTCTGTTACCCGGCTCAGTGATCTCAGTTTCTTTACTCTTAAATGTTTGTAAATTGTGCATTTTTTGCTTTAAAAATGATTGAATTATGTGGTTCTTATCTCCTGGTTAAGTTTTTTATGCGTTTAGTAAATCTGTATGCAATCGTTTTAGAATTATCAACAATTTTAAAGTTGTTTAAGTGCCGCTAAGCCTAATAATTGTTTATGGCGGCCATTGCTTGTTTACATTTGAAACAGTAGACTAGTGGATTTGTTGCCAATCTAGAGAAACTTAGCTTCGCAACAACAAAGATAACGCCTTCATTTATTATTGCAAATTAAATCATGCTTAATCCTTTCAGTTTTTTTTTTTTTTTTTTTTTCCCCGAGGAAATAAGTGTTTAAGATTTACTTCGTAATTTTTAATACATATATTTTGAGTTTTTATGTATTCTTGCCTTGTCGTGGAGTGAGAACTGAATTAATTGAATGAGAAATACTCAATCGTCTCTGAAAAACTGTTTCTTTTTTGTTTTGTTTGCTTAATTTCTTTTATACATCGTTCTAGCTTTATTATAGTATTTGAAAGAAAAGTGGCTACGATTAGATAATCTTTAAATGATATAAATTTGTGCATTCTGAATTATAATATGAACGAAATATAATACTGTAAGTGAATCTAGCGCCAGAGTGTCGCTATGTAACAATAGAGTGATTTTTAAGAATGCATTATTCTATTGTGTTTATGCGCTGTCGCGAAGTAGATTTAATTCAATACAGTAAGTGTAAATGAATGCAAGAAAATGCGTATAATTTAATACTCTGTACAAGGAAGTCATGTGGTGTACACATCAGATTTTTTAGACTATACTTTTCATGAAAAATTACCTGTAAAACTTTATAAAAAATAATTTATTAATGACCTTTGTTAGTTAACTATGTCAGTTTAAAATTCTATTAAGTCCTATAAGCTGCATTAAATTTTATGCTTAAGTTTCCATTTTACATTTTCAGCAAATATTTATTAGTTAATAAAAATATGAAAGTGAAAATTATCCTTCGTTCCATCTTTCGCTCACAAATCATTATGCGAATATTCATTTACAATTATTAAAGCCTGAAAAACTCATGTTTGCGATGTTATCGTCATGCGATGATTTGTAGGTTCTCTATTTTTTACCCCGATATTTTCGACGACGATGTTTTTAAACTGCGATGTTTTTGAACCGCTTTATTTTTAACGACGATATTTTGTACCACGATGTTTTAGAACTGTGATGTTTTCTCTGCTTTATTTTCTTCCACGACGTTTTCGCCTTGTGTTGCTTTCGGCGGACACTAGGTTGCGCACAATTTTCAATAATTTAAATGTTCGCTCACAGCTTCATACAAAACACTGCGTGAAACCACAGAAAAATATCAGATAGTGACGTAATCATAAGGCCTATAATTCTGTTTCACTCGCTTCGTCAATTTTCTGCGCGGCCGAGGGGTAAAGTCGCTGGTAGTTCGGTCCGAGGTTCGAATCCCGCGAACGGGCTGACTGCATGAGCGTTTTCGTGGTTTTACCCATGTGTAACGTATTTACGAGCCAGTTTCCCTTAGATAGTTCTCTACGAAGGCATTCCTTCCCTTAGGCAGATAGCCCTCGAGGCTTTGCCATAATCATACACACACGTCAACTTTCTGCACTAAATCTTCAGTAACGACAGAAGGTCGCCCGCTTCGTTCATGATGAACATTCGTACGGCTATCTTTAAAAGCTGTAATCCATTTCCATATCATTCTGTTGCTCCTAATGTTTTCTTCCTACATTTCACTAATTTGACGATGAATTTCAGCCGCTTTCACGTCTTAAGCCCCAAGAAAACGAATCACCAATCGTATTTCATAGTTGGCGGGATTCGTAGCTGGCACAGCCATTTAAATACTCAAAAACAAATGTTAACACAGCCGAAAGTTTCCTTAATGGCGTCTATGGCGTGCCAACTGATGTAGGTACATAGAGCGCACGCGCGGAATGCCAACTGCAGCGCTGGTCGCCGGAATTTCAAAACACATTTTTACTTACTTTAAAAACATGCCTCGTATTATCCATGAGATTTTCTTCAGTTAGACGATTTTTTTAGAATCGAACATGTATCCAGTCCTTTGGCTTTAATTCGAACCACCAGTATTGAGTGATCTTACTGGTGGGACAATTAGGTCGAAGTAAATTGTGCATAAGGAGAACCGAATTTTTTCTCTAAACCATGCTAAATCAGAAGTATGTGTGTTTGAGGAAAAGGGGGTAAGCAGAATTGAGTGTGCGTTTTAGTCATAAATAATTTTTTAAAATTTACTCTTATTACAGGTAAAGTTCTTTGTGAAACCTGTAAAAAGAAATGTGTTGGAAGCGTTTTAAAAGTCCAAAACGAGTATTTTCACGTGGAATGCTTCAAGTGTGTGGGTGAGTTCATAAAATTTAATTTCCCATATTTTGAATTAGTGTTGTTATTTTTCAGGCATTCAGTCTAAATGCACTTAATATAATTTTTTATCATACTTTTAGTAACAGACTTATGTAATTCAGTTTGCAACAGTTTTGATTATAAGGGAAACTATAAATGATGATGAAATGTATTTTCACTTCATAATGTAATAAATGTATTTCATATTTAATAAATATATTTTCATTTCACTTTCATTTACAATAATAGTATACTTTATATATTTTTAGTGTGTTCATCATCGTTAGCTCACGGAGGATTCTTTTTCAAAGAAGGATCATATTATTGCACTGCAGATTATCAAAGAATGTTTGGAACAAAATGTGCTGCTTGCAATAATTTTGTAGAAGTAGAAGTTGTTACGGCGTTAGGAAGCACATACCATCAAAAATTCTTTATTTGTGCCAGATGCCAGTAATATTATTTATTAATTTTATTTTTTACAAAATTCAGTTAATTTTGGGAGTTTTTGGATAAGTTATTTTTTTATTTTATTTTTATTTTTATTTTTTTTTTTTTTTCCCCGTTAACAGTCAGCCATTTCCACCTGGAGAAAAAGTTACGTTTACTGGTAAAGAACGTATTTGCATTAGATGTATACAAATTCCTGTTATTACTTCTCAGGCGGTAGAATCCCCTATAAATACCATACGAAGTGAGTGACTTTCTTTCCCTCCCTCTCTTTTTCTTCTTCTTTTTTTCAGTCTGGTTTTCATGGTTGCTTTCATTTTTAGAATGTTTAATGGTCATTAGTTTTGTCTTCATTGGAATGAATTCAAGATGAAAGAACGGTAATTTTTACTTTCATAGTTTTTATTAACTAATAAATTTAAAGAAAAAAAAAACAAAACAAGAAAAAATTTTCACTACAAGTGTATCAGATTAACAAAAGTGAAGAAAATAATCTCATAATTAGCAATTTTTTAATCGTCATGCAAGTATTGTCATTGCAGGTATTGTATGCAGGTCATGAAGATACTGTATGAATAAGGTCATGCAGGTATTTATCTTCCTTTTCTATTCTTTTTTAGTTTATACTTTTCATCAAAATTTACCAGCAAAACTTTATAAAAAATAATTTATTAATGACCTTTGTTAGTTAACTTTGCCAGTTTAAAATTCTATTAAGTGAGATAAGCTGCACTAATTTATTATGTTTAAGATTCCATATTAGATTTTCTGCAAATATTTATTAGTTAATAAAAAAATCTGAAAGTAAAAATTATCCTTCTTTCCATCTTGCGCTCGCAAATCATTATGCGAGTATCCTTTTACAATTATTAAAGCATGTCTTAAAAACGCATGTCTGCGATGTTATCGCCATGCGATGATTTGTAGGTACTTTATTTTTTAATAAGATATTTTCGACGACGATGTTTTTAAACTGAGAAGTTTTTGAAGTGCTTCATTTTCGACGACGATATTTATCTTTTAGAATTGCGATATTCTCTCTGCTTTATTTTCTCCCGCGATGTTTTATACCACGACGTTTTCACCTTGCGTTGTTTTCCTCGCGACGTTTTCGTCCGTGATGTTTTTGCCGCGATGTTTTCGGCGGACACCGTTTGAATGTACACTGTTAAGCTTGTGGTGTGAGATTTACACATGCATTAATTCGATTTCGGTGCTTTGTTTTTATCTAGTTAGTGTTGAAGACACTTTCTTACACAGATAAGTAGAATCAAACATAATTATAATTTCAAAAGCATCATTGTACTATTCACTATTCTCCGTTTACACTGGTAATGAGGTCTAGAAATTAACTATACTTTATGCTCGAAATTTCATTTAAATATCTTAGATAGTCAATTAACCATTCTCTTTCATTCAATGACAGTTTGTTATTCGGAAAATCGCAATGGAATGATCATGAACCTATGAAAATTTGTTATATTTACCATCCGGAAAATAATTTTCAAATTATGTCATCAAAGTTTCGAGAAGCGAACCTATGCCACTGCATAATATTTTTTTTTTTCCAACAGCAATAAAATTCCATACTTAAAAGATTTTAAGGTTGGAAATAGTGAATAATTTCTCTATTTTACACAACCCAAATTTTCTTTCAAAAACCTTTTAATTGATCATGGGCACTGAGAACAGTCAAAGAATTATCTTGTAGATGCAGATTTAGCTTACTGAGCTTAGTCTCTAATTTTGAGAACGCACCACCCAGCCCGGACAGTGGTTAGCGAATCTGATTGCCATACTGAAAGGTCCAGTTTCGGCTCCCGGAAAAGGCATGGATGTCTGTAAATGTATAGTGTCTGGGCAGCATGGGGACACTCTAAATATGCGCCGAGCCGAAAGTCTACTAGAGAAAGTGGTGGTAGGGGAAGTAGAGTGGGAGACCCTCGGACAGCGTGTCCCCCCTGCGCTCTCCTTCAAAATTGGGGGGGGGGTGCAGCTAAGCTAGTAAGTGGTATTGTCATCTGTATGGTGCCCAAAGTTCTTACCAACGACAGGCGCAGCGCAATCTTGCTTCTTAGCCACAATGAAATTGGCCTTGTTTTGATTTCAGACAAGCGAAATTAGTTAGAACAACCACAATTCTGAGAATGCATCTGAAAGATATACCAATATATTTAGCCACGTGTCATTAAAATAAATGATGTAAAATCGTGTTAATTCCGTTTAAAAGTAACAGAGCATTTTTGCAAATCTTGGAAAGCCATAACAGAAGGCTTCGAGGACCACTTGTGAAAACGGACCACAGTTTGAAAACGCTGGATTATTAAATTTTGTTACATAGGCGATCACACTTTTATTTTTCATAATATAGAATTATAGAGGAATTTTGTAAAGATTTCAATCTCTTGTTCCTATTAAACTATGAAAAATTATTTTCTCATTTATTCCTAAATTCAGTTGAAAATAGCAACATCTACCTCAACTGTCTAAAACTTAATAAAACCAATAAAAATCAGTTAATAATAGACTACCTTGATCTCAGCATCCGTAATCTTAAAGAAATAAGACATTTTTATAAAAGAACAGAATTTAATTTTTCTACAATAAAACTTATAAATTGGTACTTCAATCTCTCTAAAAAATTATAGCAAATGCAGTTATTAATCATATTTGCAGAATTAAAGAAGTTTACAACAACAAAAATAAATTGTAATTCTCAAAAAAAATTTTTTTAAAGAGAATGAAATTCCAATTAACTTCATTAACAGTCTTTTAAACAGAATCTCGAGTAGTCTATATAAATTTTTTTAAGTATGAATTTTTTATCTGAAAGCTTAAATAGAAGAAGAATAAAGAAAGATGTTTCAGGAGGTTTTATATTTCTTATTTTTATGTATTTTTTTTTTCTATTTTTAAATCTTTTCTTGACTTTGCTATTAATAACATTGGGTCTACTATATTCCAGTCGTCATGATAAGCTCATGATGTTAAGACTTTTTACTTTTCTATTTGTACCTTTTTTTTTACTTTTCTCTACACATTTCTTTTATATAAAAATTTTAAATAGTATTTGTTACTAGCAATAAATTCACCTTTGAAGAGATTTCTAACTCGTCTTCGCCAATTTGTTCCGCCAATGAGGCCTAACTGGCAGCCATTGGCGCCCATTTTGAATCTAACGGTTCTATTTCATTGTTTGGAAATTTGTACTTTGATTACGGTGTTCTTGCTTCATTTCTAGGAGATTCTGTTTCTACATTTTAATTATAATTTATTCAGTTTTAATCTTATATTGGGTAAAAAAAAATTGTTTAACTATTTACTTTAAATGAAATTTGAGATTTTCTTTAGTTGGTGCATTTATTATATTTTCACTGCAGATTGCTACTTCGCACTGAGTAAATTTTGAAATTCATGTTCTCGTTTTATTTTTGTTATTTTTTTATTTCAATTTTAAATTCAGTGAAAAGTCTAATTGTATTCTTTTACTTGATTTGACATTGAATTTTTCCTTGTTTAGAGGACTTCAAAATTTTCGGATGAACTGATGTAATTAAAAAACTTTAGAACAGTTCATCAGCTGATTTTTGAATACAGAAACGCACGGGTTTTCAAGGGGAAGGGGATTGTAATTCAGTCTGTATCCTCCTCTCGATAACGTTACATGAAACTTAATTGAATTCCTCTTCGTTATTTATTTTAGTGGTTTTTATATATTTTTTCAGGTATTTATATTTTTTTAGGTTTTTAACTTCCCATTTCCTTAATTTTTTTTTGAATATTTATAGGATGTTTTAGAATTTATTGGTATTGAATTTCACTTTTTTTCGAGTCTTTGTGTAAAATGGGTTCTAAATTTCTTTCTTTTGTCTACATACAGGGGTTGGACAAAAATATGGAAACACATTTAAAAAAACATGTTTCTTTGCTTAATATGGTGTAGGAAACCCGTTGGCATCCAAAACAGCTTGCAGTCTTCTCGGAATGGATAAATACAGTTCCTGTATGTTTGCCAAGGGAATATTATACCATTCTTCCTGCAAAACGGTGGCAAGTTCAGATAACGATGTTGGCGGTGGATAACGAGAACGCACTTTCCGTTCCAATGTAGACCAAAAAGGTTCGATAATATTCAGATCTGGTGACTGTGGTGCCCAGGGCAGATGGTACAACTCATCCTCGTGCTCAGAAAACCAGTCCTGGATAATGTGAGCTGTGTAAACAGGGGCTTTTTGTCGTCTTGGAAGACACCATCAGCATCGGGGAACAAAGTTTGTACCATGGGATGAACTTGATCGGCCAAAATGTTCACATAAGTCTTGGCAGTCATGTGCCCTGACACAGTTATCATGGGGCTAGCAGAGAACCACGATATGGCTGCCCAAACCATAACAGAACCCCCGCCATGTTTCACTCTTGGCAACAACCAGTCTGTATTATAGGCTTGAGATGGCGTTCTCCAGACGTAAATTCCGTAAATTCGGCCAGAAGTGGAAACAATGTGAAAGAACTCGTCAGACCATATTACTCGCTCCATGCTCTATCCAGGCTTTATGACTTAAACACCACCTTTTCCTGTTACGGGCATTAGCATCACACGATGAGTGGATTCTCAATTGCAGCACGGCCAGCAATTCCCTGTTTATGAAGCTCCCTTCTAATTGTTTTGGGTACTCGCAGGGTTTCGGTAACACAACATTCATTTCAGCAGTAACTTTTGCAGCTGTGGTCTTCTTATTTTTCGTCACAATTGCCCTTAATGATCGTCTTTCACGATCACTCAAGACACACTTTCGTCCGCGCTGTGTTTTAAGCAGATGATGTTTTTCCGCTTTTCAAATATGCGGAATAAATCTTCGATACAGTACCTCTTGAAAACAAAACACCTCGGCTACCTTTGCTTACGGAAGCCACCCATACGTGCTCCAACAATTTGCCCACGTTCGAAGTCTGTTAACTCTGACATAATGCAATGACAACCTCACGTATCAGTAACGACAACAACTGAACTGCCCCCACATTTACGAAGTTGTATAGGTGGCGTCAGTAGTCAAAAACGCCAGCGCCACCTACATATTTCATAAAAAAAATCTTTCTTTTCAAACATGCATTTCACAAGGTGTTTCCATATTTTTGTCCATCCACTGTATATATAAGTATAGATAAGAATTAAGAAAATTAAACTTAATCCACAAACACACGAAAGCAATAAAATTCAGAACCATTAAAATCCAAAGTTTCCAA